ACTAAATAACTCAAGTTCACATGGCTGCTATGTTTCAGAGTCCAAAAATCCAACAGTATTTCTCAGACATTAATGTGCATACCTATGAATCGCCTGGAGAACTTAACATACAGATTCTGCTTCAGTGGGTCTGGGAGTCTCTATTTTTAGCATGTTTCCTGGTGAGGTCAATGTAGCTGGTCCATGGACAGTGATGTGAGGAGCAAGGTGGTAGATGTCTGGACACTCCACAGCCTCTGAAGCAATATATTAAGGTACCCCTCAACCTTTTTCATTTCCAACTGACGGAAAGTCATATGGAAATTTACTTTTCAAGCATTCCTTGGTGTTTTTCTAGATCACGGAGCTAAACAAGCTCAAGGTTAAAGGTTGTGGAATAATGGTTGTTCAGACATGGCCTGATGTTATGAGAACATTAGCACTCAAGCACTGTAGAATCTGCTTGTGTTTTTGTCTATAAAATCTATCTTGCCTGGACCCTCCTGTTCAAATGTATACCCTGAGAGTTGGACATTTAGTGTTTGTGTTTCTGAGAGAACTAGCTCTTGGTGGTTCTACCAGCTGCCTGGCCCTCCTCTGTGAGCCCCAGGGAAGAGTAACACAGGTGGCTATGTTTATAGAAGTGGAGTCTTAAAGCATCAGTTCTCATGGTGGGGACAAGTTGCCATAGCTGTCCCCAGCCCAGAGCCTCTTAAGAATCAAGTGCAGCAGTGTGGCTCCTGGAACACGGGGCCAGCTCCGTGCAGTCACTGGGGAGAGTGAGTTATATAGGTCGTTACATACTGTGTGTAACTACTGGTGGGGTTATTCATTGGTGAAACCATTCTGAAGGCAATTATAATAGGAGAAATGCTCAGATTGAAAAATGGACATACTCCTTGACCTAGAAGTTCTGCTTTCAGAAATCTAAACTTCAGAAATCCTAACACATGTACACATGGGCACATAGCTGTCCATGAGAGCATTGTCTGATGTATCCCAGCATTAAATCAGACCATCAATAAGGGCATGAGTAAATACATTCTGGAATAACCATGACATGGGAAACAATTCAGCCATTAAGAAGAATCCAGCACTGACCTGCGAAGATGTCTAAGATAGCTTGTCACGCGAATGCAGCAAGTTTCGGGATGATATATAAAACAGGATCTGTTTACATAACTCTTTCTTATCCACATATGTATACTTGCACATATCCATGGAGTCTTCATTTTCTGAACCCCTCACTGTGAGGTGGTTGAATGGGGAAGCAAAGGCATTCACACTAAGAAAATATTCACCAATAAAGGGAAAACCTGTACAAAACAGTCTCTCCTCTGTCTCTCCTTGCTTAGTCCTGGAGTCAAAATTGGTGCTGCTCTGGCTCTCGCTGACTGTGGGCTCCTGAAGGCAGCGCCCATTCTATGCAACTGACTGTCAAATGAAAGGACACATCTAGCAAACGAGGTAGGATTTCATGAGGCTGGAGAAAATGCCTGGGAAAGCTGTTTGCATCTTATGGAACCTCTAGGCCAAAGGAGGCTGGAAGATGGAAAACATGCAAAAATGAAATCATCAAGGAAGATCACAAAACAGTACTTGATAGAGAATGAATTGTATATAAAGCCTTTAAAAAGAAATGCCCCACATTGCTAGTCATCAGAGAAATGCAAATTAAAACCACAATGAGATATCACCTCACACCAGTAAAGATCACCACCATCCAAAAGACAAACAACAAATGTTGGCGAGGCTGTGGAGAAAGGGGAACCCTCCTACACTGCTG